GAAACATGCATGGTCAGCCTAGTTTATTATTTGGCCTAATCTTGGCCAAGATAACCCCATTGGTTTAATATGAAAGCCACGAGCATCACCATACTAAAGTTTAGTGGTTTACGTGGCAAAAAAGTTAGGGTCAGAGTCGTTTCTGACAGAAGTATATAACGAGATGCGTTCAGAACGCAAACAAGACAGTCTCAGCAGACTTACACCAAAATATGGTGACATCCTCAGCGGATGTTTGGTATTGTAAACGTTACAATTGATATCCCCAGCGGATGATGATTCAGATTTGGCAAATAAGCTGTTCTTTTGTATTCAGAGTATAGTTGTAGCAATAAGCAGTGGGAAATGCGCTTTTAATTAAATGCACTTAATAAAGAAAGTGTTTAGTAAGTTGACGCATGATTTTAATCTCGTTAAAGTAACAATCTTTATTATTTTCCTTTTTGGAAGCTCATCTTCAACAGCGATAATTGGAGGCAGCGGAGTCCTCAATCAGCCAAAAGTCAAGAGCTGGATATAGTCTCGCCAGTCAACTGCTTTCCATGCTACTCGAGTCACAAGCCCCATCAACAGTCTCGAGTACAGATCATCCTTCACGAGATGGCGACAATGGGCAGAGTTGCACGGAATATCATACCTACCCGCAGATCCTTACATGGTAGCCTTATACCTGATCCATATTGGAACTCTGCAACATCACCATGCACCTACAGTCACAAACTCTTTAGCTGTCATGTCATGGGTTCATCTCATGGCTAGTTGGGGACCATGATACAACCAAAGACCCTCTGGTGTCATACACCGCGCTAAAGGTCTGACAAGAACACTGGTTAAGCCAAAGAAAGATCCAATTACACCAGATATTCTTTCTGAGATAGTGCCAAAATAGGGTAAAGACCGTTCAGTACACATCTTATTTCATATAAGAATCCTGGTCAAGGCCCTTATTTCATATACCGGGTCTTATCGGCTCAGTGAGTTAGCCGCACTTTAATTGAAGTATTTACGTGTTATCTCATGCACTCGGCCATGTGAATTCAGTTATTATTGCGAGGTAATTATTATCAACATGTACAGTTACAATGTTGGAATTGTATGTCAAGTGAGTCAAAGTCTTCCCTTCAGATAAAGACCTTCTTTTGTGTTCATAAACTTAAACAAATGTTAAAGAAGAGTATAAAGTGATTTCATAGAGGTATAAACCGATGAAGTACTCGAGAGTTTGAGAGGGAAGGTTAGAGTTTTCACAGAGCAGCCCCATGCTGCTGTTGGAGTCTTAGTGGCTATCAAAGCAGATATCCAACAGGCTGTTCAAGCGTCATGGACGCCATATCAGAGACAGAGAAGGATACTTTAATATATCCAAGAGAGTGATTGCAATATGATGTTAAATATCTAAATCCTTTTGGGGATTCAGCATTACAGACCCGTTCTTTATAGTTCATACCGGTTGCTGCTGCAAGCACAAATACCAAAATCAGGATGATTTGATTGTTTATTGTGTAGAATGGTGTTGAAATGATAAATATTGATTTATTCGGTTGAGTACCGGGACGAATTAGAATAAATCTGCTTTATCAGTGATATGTAAATGAGACACGGTAGAGTGGTTAAGGGCGCGTAATTTGAATAGGGAGTGGCACAGGAATGTGTGCGTGGTTGGATTGAAGGTAGATCACTTCACGCTTGCGAGCAGCAACGACAACACACAATTTTTAACACAGTTGTTAAGTCTGGTTGTAATTTCATAGTTGTTCAATGTCTCAAACAGTATTTATAAGAGACGAACATTGCTACCCTTGCCTGAAGGAGTTGTCTTGCATAGTTCAGGTGTACGTTTCCATTTTTCCAAATATGGTTTTGGTTTTTCGTATCTGGCAGTCAACACAGCAATGTTAGATGGGGTACAATTCCAGAAACAGCCATAATGTAATAGATGAGTGGTATCTTGCGATTATTCAATTAAGTTTAGCTAAAGGCTCTGAAGCCTAAAGGAAAGTTCTGTGAAACTTAAAGGTTCAAATGAAATCCACAAGTGGCAATCAAGGTATGGTCGGAGTAGTTTCTGACGGAGGTATAAAACGAGATTTACAGGTTGGCAGTAAGATTCATAAAGATCAGATCTACTAGATGAGATGCTAGAATTGTTCTAGCGATCTAATGCGTTCAGAACGCAAACAAGTCTGAATAGACATGCACCATAGTATGCGTGATTTATCCTCAGCGGAAGATATCTGGTATTGTACAAAACCAAAAGAGATAATTCTGAAAAGCTTGCCTTAATATAATATCAAATGTGGAACGATTATTCAGAAATAACCATGACAATTGTAAAGAGGAGGGAAGTCTCAAGGTTAATTTTAGTATTGATTACGCAAATATGATAAATGAAAGGCTCTTACGCCTAAATGATAGACCCTAGTTCTGTAAATATTGTCTTCATCAAGACGTCTTTAAGGTTCAAATTATTGAATGACCGTTATTAAAACACTGTCGTACCTGGTAGTCATCACAGCGATGAGACTAAACATAATATCAAATGGGGTACGAATAATTAGAATTAATCATAACAATTGCAAAAAGAGTGTTGTCTCAGGTATAATTCTGTATAATTAATTGATCACTTAAATGTGTCTATAATGAAAGGCTCTTACGCCTAGATAATAGATGATAGTTCTGTAAATACTATCAAGTCTTTAAAGGTTCGAATTATTGAAAGATGTAATTAAAACATTGGGTCGTCGTACCCGGTTGCTGCTGCAAGCACAAATACCAAAATCAGGATGATTTGATTGTTTATTGTGTAGAATGGTGTTGAAATGATAAACGAAACTGGGGGCATCTACGTCTGGGGCTCACTCCAAAAGTTTCAAGTCTGAAGCCTTGCCGATTTGTCAGCTTGTTGGCCTATTCATCCGCTAGCTGAAGAGGGAGGTGAGATCCTATATGTGCCCAGATACAAAGAGTAGAAATCTACGCGTCTGCCTTTTGAAAATACACAATTGCGGTGTTCATTGTTGCGTAATGATCCACCTAGCACACGACTGTTTTGCACATTAGGCTGTGTTATGCAGCTTCCTAACAAACCAAACAAACTGGGCTCATTATATCGACTTGTTTTTACCCATTAAGGTAAAGCAAATGGACCCAGTAATCTTCCTGGCGCGTTTGCTCACCTATAAAGACAACTTTTCTCAGTTTAAGGAAAATTCTAAGGTAACGAAATGGTCGAGTGGTTACGATTCGTCGTCCACGGTTAGCGGGGTCCCGGGTTCGAATCCCGCTGGTCTCTTTTTGGTTTTTAACGTATGAGTTCAATTATTCACTATAAGAGATTTAATTTCCCGTCGTTAAGGACCAACAGTACCTTAGCTTAATCGGTAAGCACTGCTGCTGGTACTGTCCGCGAGTTCCAGGTTGGCGCCTTCGTACAGGTTCAGGGCATGTGGTCCACTCGGAGGATCAGGGCTTAGGGGCCGCCCTGCTCCTCCCTTATCTCTTTGCTTTTACATGGTGCCTGGCCCTCCGGGGTTATATGGATGGATGGGGAAGGAAGTGTGTATTGGTCGGGGACGCCGAGACCCCGGAAGAGAACTAAGGGATCGGCTGGGGCATTGTTATGGCTCAGACCGATCCCTGAAAGCTTGACTAGCACATAACTTTTTGATTATTTTTACCCTCTATCTTTTATACTTTGGTTTAGTTTGATATCTACAGCTGCTCGGCAGGTCTACGGGTAGTATCAAAATTGAAACAGGTGTATGTCATAAATCAATGAATATTTCATACTTGACTATAATCAAAACGGAGTTTTGTTCGATCAATTTGACGATCATTATATAATGACGCGATTGCCAATTGACGTAAGAAACGCCATAAATTATACCGGGAAAGAATAAAGATGTACATTGTAATATACATATTATTTATACATCTTTTGTCTTTAATTGTAAGCATTCCCAACAATACAGTAATTCGCAATGGTATTAGAATGGTATATGATAGCACGATCAATGCGTCTCTAATAAATTTAAAAATATATAATTTAGGCCCCTATGTGTGAAATATTCTGTTGATGAAACATTTCAAATAGTATGGGGTGAACCTTGCATTTTTTGGCGAAATTGGGCAAGATCAGATCTTTCTGGAAAATTTCAGATTGTAAGGGGTTAACCTTGCAGTGTAGTAAAATTTGGCAAAATCAGATGTGTATGAAAAATTTCAAATGTAAGGGGTTAACCTTTCTTTTTTAGTAAAATTTGGAAAATTTAAATATTTATGAAAAATTTCAAATTGTCAGTGGTTAACCTTGCATTTTTTTAGCAAAATAGGGCAAAATCAGGTGTTTATGGAAAATTGGCTAGAAACTAGACTTTGATTCTTAACGAAACATCGAATGAAAAGGGAAACATCAAATGCATATTGCAAGATCGAATGCAAACATACCGATGAAACATCGAATAAAATTGCTCGAAATGTCACACATATGTGTAAAACATTGCTCACATATTTGAGAATATCGCAAATATATTGTAAAACAACACTCACAATTGTATCGAAAAACATCGCACATTTAATGCAAAAAATCGAACATAATATTGAAAACATCGCACATATATATCGTCAGAAACATCGCACATATAAATTGAAAATCGCATCATAAATGTAAAACATCGCACACATATATTGAACATCGCACATATATTGTAAAACATCGCACAAATATATTAAACATCGCGCAAATAATGCAAAACATCGCACACTTATATTGAACATCGCACATAAATGTAAAAGATAACAAACACATCTTGAAAATCCAACAAATATATTGCAAAATTGAATATTGTAAGGTTTGACACGCCATAGTTGAGGCTAACGGTAATACTAGCTGGCGCAGCGCGCACCGTACGTAGCGGGAACAAGCTCGCTCCACCTGTCCAGATAATTTTAGCAAATGCACTTAGCCCAGGTTGGACGCCCTCTTCATTTCATTGCATTACTCTGTAACATGGTGCAGTAATTAAGGGAGTTCACGTGGGATACAATAAATGCACTCAAATAAAATCCTAAATTAGCACAGATATTTAGTTTTCAAAACGAGCAGAATTTTAACAATCAAATATGGTACATGAATCGGTCGTCGGGTAAAGAGGACCAAACCTGAATGGAATCCAGACTTCCGTAAAAGAAAGGAAACGCAAGATTTTCCGGGTATCTGACTAAGGGCAGTCCCAGACACAAACGAATAAAGGCGTTGGTTGCCTGCTTCTGAATCTGTGGTGAGAAGATTTCGTTTAATTTCTCTGTATTTTCTGTTGGCAAAGTAAGTTGATAGTCAAGGAGTTATCTTGTGTGGATGATCAGTACTATTAGCTCGTACCCACCGCCCAAACAGTACGTGCGTGTCTATTCTTATTTTAGTCCTCACTCCTCAGTCATGTCACTGTCAGTCATATAATTTAGCATTAGGCTAATTATTATAGGCCTAACTAGGCAGTGGATATTTTGCCGGAGACGGCAAACCTTCAGTAAACGTTAGTTTGCCGGATATGCACTGAACTAGCCCCACTAGTGTGTACTCCTAGAACTATGAGGCTCCACGTAGTGGAGCCTCATAGGTTCAGAAGCCCGCAAAATTGTTGTCAGCACAAAACACTAATTAAGTACAAAAACGTCCATCCCAAGCAGGCCGTTTTCCACAGAACCGCTGCACAGTTTGCCCCTAAACTCCATACAATACCTCATGACATACTCACGTTATGTGCACCCAACAAACATCGGTGGATTCTGTCTGTTTTTCGGCAAAAATGATGAAAAATATGCCCTTTCCGCACTGAGCCAACCTAACACTTGAAACGAGCACGCGTGCAGAATGATCGCAGTTATTTTCGGTTCGATCGCTCGGAGCGCGCCGCGGGGGGTACGTACTTGCACTTGTACGCATGTGCATACTATCGTTCCGCTCCTACACCATACCCCCCGCGGCGCGCTCCGAGCGATCGAACCGAAAATAACTGCGATCATTCTGCACGCGTGCTCGTTTCAAGTGTTAGGTTGGCTCAGTGCGGAAAGGGCATATTTTTCATCATTTTTGCCGAAAAACAGACAGAATCCACCGATGTTTGTTGGGTGCACATAACGTGAGTATGTCATGAGGTATTGTATGGAGTTTAGGGGCAAACTGTGCAGCGGTTCTGTGGAAAACGGCCTGCTTGGGATGGACGTTTTTGTACTTAATTAGTGTTTTGTGCTGACAACAATTTTGCGGGCTTCTGAACCTATGAGGCTCCACTACGTGGAGCCTCATAGTTCTGGGAGTAACTAGTGTGGCCGTCGGTATGCTGCGCTGAACCTAAGGCCACACACCGTGGTCCGCGCATTACTGAGGACGTTTTCTTAAAATTTGCAGGGAATTTCTTACATATGGTTGTATTCTACGATGTCCCATCTATCACTTCTGGGATGCTTAGGTGTAATGATGTTCAATTTTCCGAGATATTCTTGAATCTTTCTGGAGCCCATATGCACTCGTGAAACGTCCGGTGATGGCAGCCATTTTGAATGTGACAAGAGATGACCTCAAGCTGTGATGTCGCGTTCATGCAAATTACTTGTCGAGCGATGATGAAAAATGTTAATGCAAGTGACACATGAACAGTGAAACGTCGCTATTACTAACACCGCTATAACGAATATTCCGCTATTACAAACATCCCCTTTGGCTCCCAAAATTGTAAATTCTTTTTAAATACACAATCACTATAACAAACGACCACTGAAATGAACATTTTTGTCTCGCCTGGACTTTGTGCAATCACAATGTCTGTACTAATGTGTGTATTATTATGTACCGGTAGTACGTGGTATTTTGGTTCAAGTTTCAAGGAATTGGTCTCATTTTAAAAGAAGTCCAATTGGATTCAAACTTGAATCATAGATGCAACATTAGAACCATATGTTAATGATGTCAAAGGTCACATACCAAGGTCAAGGGGTCAAGTTGTAAAATAGGTCATCTGATGTCAAGTTGTAAAATAGGCTGTAAACTTAGTGGTCTCATTTACAAATTTGAAGTCCAATTGGAACCAAACTTAATACACATGTAGATGCAACATGGCAACCTTCATATGATAATTATGTCAAAGGTCACATACCAAGGTCAAAGGTCACTCTTTAAAGATAACTGCGAAAGCAGACGAGAGTCGCGCGGTTCAAGAACCGCCTTGTTTATTGACCCCGTGGTGTTCGTTATAACAGCATTCATTTTCACAATATTGCCATCTGGACAGATTTTAATAGACTGTAGCCTATAGGCCTAAATGTTGATTTCATTTCATATAAAAATGTTAATTTCATTTCAAACTTCATGTGTACATGTATGTCATAATTGAAAAGATGACACTTCACTTTCTCAATTCTCAACATGCTTTCAACTTGGAAGATGTGATGATATGTACATGTACAATGTATGTAAGCACAAGGTTGAAAAGTTCATGGCCCCACTTCTTCTTTAGAATAGAAATAGCAATCTGTGATCTAAATATTTAGATGTTAGTCATCTGATTGAACACTGACTCCACAAACATAGACGAAGGAATTTGTCATTAAAGGGAAGATACAACATTTGCAAACATCAAAATACGAAATGGTCAAAATTTCACGAAATACTTTACTGGATTGTTCAGGAATGACAGTCTAAAGCATTCTGTAAAATCATGGCTCCTGGTGTGCTGACATTTTCAAGAAAAAGTGTATTTTTCCAGCGCTGGTCGGCCGACCAGCGTTGGAAGAAAACTGGCTTTTTTTTTTAAATGCGCCTAATTTTCATATTTAGTTTTTCTGCATTTTCTTTGCAATTGATTACACACCTGTGAAGGGGTACAAGCCTTCTAGACTGATTCTCTGACCTTACAATTCCCCAAAGTCTATAAATTGCTCCGTTTCATCTGAAGTGGGGTCAGGGAACCAGACTACAAGAACATGATTGGTGTTCTTGGTTTTTCCAGCATCTACAAGCCCAAAACGTGAAACAAGTCAATTTAACAATATTTGTTATAACATAGGCCTACATGTACCAATCCTCCAAATCCATTTCTTTTTGAAAATTGCAGCAAAGGCAAATGTTGTACATTCCCTTTAATAGTGCAAAGAAATACTAACCAGTATACATTGTAGTCTGTCCTCAGTGGGTTTCCTTCTTTTTGCACCACTCTGTATTTAACAGCCTTTTTTTTTTAAATCTGATCATGAAATGCACAAGATCATGACTCACAGTCTTCTCCTTGGTTTTGTTTGATCCTCACCCCGTAATAATGAACTGTCCTCATCTTTTTAAGATGGCTCAGTGATGACTCACGTAAACAATGTAATGGAGTACAATGTAATGGATATCAACAGACCATCTTCATACGAAAAATTACAATTTTGTGTATTCAATGCCATCAGGTACATTGTACCTGTGCGCACAGTGTGTGTGCAAAATGTTCTAAACACGCGTGCATGTTGCTCGAAATTTCTTTGAAATACGGCACAGCTGATGTGCGTCACGAAAATGTGACTCCTAAAATGCCAATGCACGTGACAATCTGTAGGCAGTGACATCATTTGAGAAATACCTATACAAAGTTCAAGTGAGCTCAGCTTTGCAATTGTCCCCCCCCCCCCCCATGAAAAAAATTAAGCATTAGCATACCATTGGGTCAGTACGGTGGACATACATGTACATTTGTGTACATGTATTTTTAGAAAAGACGTGGACAGCCAATATAGCACTTTATCAACATTGTAGTTTTTGGGGCAGGAAGGTGGGAATGGAAATGTTAACATAATTTACTTCACTTGGAACATAATTTGTTCTGCATTTTTTTTAAAGTACATGTAGCATGACTTTTCAAGGGAAAATCAGGAAACTGCAGTTGGATTGCAGAGTGCAGACTAAATGTGGCCAACTGCTGGGGAAGCTATTATCATTATGCACAGGAAATCCAAGGTTGGAGGTTGAACACACTAGGACTGTAGGAGCCCTGGGACCCGCCAACCCACTCCCTGTGAAAGCCACCATCCTGTTTGGCCGATTGGGGAAGATATTGTGGAAGGAAATTTCTTTGTCCAAAGGAAGTACATATGCAGAGTGTTAACACATACATGTAGATGTACATGTACCATAGTCTTGCACGATTTTGGGATTGTCCAAAGTCATCATCTATATTGTTTTGTCCTCCAGTGGGCTGGTAACTTGCTGTTGCGTTGTGGATCTACATTGTACTGTACCCGTATATTGCGGATTTGGTATGTACATGTACGTCTGTGTATGGACTGAGTTGTTCATTATTCCACTGATCATAGAACAAGGAACTGTAGTTACAACTTGTGATTATTGTGAAAAATGCCTGTATGCCATCCTGTCTGAACATGTGTGGTAGACTGTCACCTGTGTAATTATTTCCAAATAAGGGTGCCAATTAATGCATATTTTTATAATCATTAATTTGTACCTTACCGTACTTTCTGCACTCTTTGCCGTTTCAGTATGTGGTAATGGTTTGTCCTTGTCACTCAAAACGTGACTCGTACAAATCAAATTTATCTTTTTCATACATGTACATGCACATGATGAAAAACATTGTTTCACATGTAATGGGGTGGGCCCCGTTACAGGTGAAATCACTGTCTTTTTTGTCATAAATATCTGCATGATTACAATAAAGTTTGAAATTCATTTGTTTCATAAAGTAATTGGAATGGTTACATACTTTAAGAAATTAAGACATTTTGAATGAAATACTTCAATGATACATGTAGGCCTACATAAAAGTTCTGGTTTCACGTGTAACTGGGACACTTAGGCCCAAAAAAAAAAGTCTCCGGTTTCTGGTATGCGCGCGCGTCGCCGTAGCCATGCGCGTCGGCAAAATGAAAAAGTGTTTTTTTTTCAATGAAAGATGATGTCTCAAAACCGCCAAACTCACTGGTTTGACTGGAATCCTGCTGCTGCACAATTTTAACGTGTTTTTAGATTGGGTTATGGTCGAGAATAAGATGTATGTGGCCTCTCTGGACTCCCATATATTTGCACTAAGTTTAGTCGGGCACCATTTGCAGTCATCAGCCGACATTTGAAGCAAAAAAATCAGGTAAAAAAAAAAAAAAAAGCCGCGTCGCCGCACCACTTTTTGGGCAAGCTCCATACCAGAAACCGGAGACTTTTTTTTTTTTGGCCTTACATGTACCTCAAAATATGGAAATAACCACTATTTTGTGCAGTAGGCCTATATCCATCTGACAATGTCCGAATTTTATGGTATAATAGTGTAATTTATTAGCTTACACATATGTACGAAATTGATAGAATTCAGAAATTTCAAAGAAAGCCTCACATATAATGGCACAAAAAGATGTTTTGCTTCATACTGTAATGGACATTTGGGGGGACACCATAGTGTCCCCTGTTACACGTGAAAGTAGCAGCTTATTTGCGCTACATTTCTGAAGCCTGTCATTGAAAATTCAAATGAACAGACACCAGTATCTTCACTGCTTTATAAAATAAATGAATTTTAGACATTTTCAATGAAAACCTACAGAAATATGGCACAAATAAGTCACCAGTTTCACGTGTAACAAAGTTGGTGTCCCTGTTACATGTACATGGTAAACCACGTTTTTTGTCATGAAAGAAGAAAATCATGTCGGAAAATGAAAAATGTACGGTATGTTTAAAATAGTAAGATCAACCAGTCCTACAAATTTGCATCCAAATTAACATTAACATTGTCAAATGTCACACTTTGGACCCCTTATTTATGGAATGACCATACACTAAATGTCAAAATATTGTATAAATAAAAGTAGTTTTGACTATATTTAAATTATGTATGTATACATGTACACTAACCTGTATGTAGGTTATGTGTAAACAATACCAGTAAGTACATGTACTTTTCCCACAGGGATGCCAACTTTGAGTGAGACCTGAGCGTGAGAATTTGGCGATGGAGCTTGATCAGAACGAATATGCGAGCGCGAAGCGCAAAGCCCTAACGGCGCTGGGTTCGAGGCCCGTCTAGGGCCCTAGAAAATTTTGTATTCTAGATGCTCTGTGGTGTGATCTGAGTCAATTTCTGACCACTTTAACCAATTTTTTGAGCAAAAGATCATCATTTAAACATCACTTTTGAGTTTGAGTCAAGTATTTATTTATTTATTTTTTAGCGTGAGAAATCCCGTGTGGGCGTGAGAGTGTGAGAATAATGGCAGGCCTGTTACATGTACCTCAATATCTGTAGTGTCGCTAATGCTATGTCATCAAGGTTCATTGATGATGTGGAATTAGTCAATTAGTCATAAGGAAATAAATTTAATTTGGAATACTTTCGCATTCAATTCACATAGATACCGATACCTGTGAATTCATTAGCTTGAAATTTCCAGCTTTCTACGGTAGGCTCATGACATGTCATGAGCCTAGAAAGCTGGAAATTTCAAGCTATGCTAGCTCTTGTACACAAATGTACATGTACATGTAGATGTATTTAACCAATTTATGAAGTGAAATAATGCATTTCCTGTCAGCACAGGAATTTCTTCCTACTTGTCAGGAAGTGTATTGGTAATGTACTGCCCAAATTTGAACACCATTTAAACCATCTGCGAGAACTATATTCAACAAAAATTTCTGTCGGTACTGTATACATAATGTAAATGAAGCACACTGCATGTAGTTCTTTCTGAGTACCAGGCTTTAACCAGTGAGCGTCGGAGGACATGATAACATGCACTGGCTGTTTTTATATACAGGCACGGCTGATGGGTTAAGATGTCAAGATTGCCTCGACTCTCCTCCAGGTGACATCTAAACGTACGCTAATCCCTCGTGCCTTTTGTACTCACACAAAGTCCGTGAAGTTTGTGGAGGCAGACTGTGTGTTGATCTTGACTTGGCCGCAGTGCACGGCCTGTTCTACAATTTACGCTCCAGTGCGCACCTCGGAGTATTGAAACATGAGGTTTTCGGCCAGAAATATCATACATAGGCCTATTCTGTTGAAATGACTCTTGTGAAGCTGTATTTGGGGCGTGTGGCCGTATATCCGTATATCAGAAGTTGGCTAGAAAATGTTGCCTTTTGCGAAATCGAAATTTTCGGCAAAAATAATGCCGGCGCGAATTGATTTAAAGGCAGACATACATTTTACTTGGGAACACATATTGTGCAACTTTCTAGTCCTCTTAAATGTATGGAATCTTTCTGGCACCCTTTTTGGTTAATTTGATTGAAAAGTGCACTTTTTTTAAACATTTCACATTTTCTGTGCTTTTCCTGACAACTGAGGGCGCTGTGGCTGTGATGTCATTTGAGGAAGACACTGTTCAGTTTAGGGGTTTTCTGTTCAAATTGTTGACCTGCAAAATTTGCACATTGAAAACATTTGTGAGAAAGTTTGCTCACGTCCCGAAACAATGAATCACCAAAGAAGAAAAAAATTGTGAAAACAAAAATATCAAAAATCTTGTCAAATTTATGTGCTGAAATAGCTGTAACATTGAGGCTTCCGCCTGAAATGACATCACACTTTCGCTCATGAATTTGGAAATTCGCCAAATTTGGCAAAATGAAAATTGGAAGTTATTAGGTTAAATGGGACACAAAGGTGCGTTTTCAAGGATTGGGTTGAAAAATTGCATTTCAAGGGCCTTTTGGCCAAGATTCCTACATGTATGTTGGTCATTCCACCGGGTTGGGGAACAATGTGTGACATACATGTATGACCATATTAAGAAAAGCATGAATGCCTTGCTAGCCATGCTAGCAGTTGCACTACATAATATTTGTTGTTGGGTGTTTCACTACTGCAGAAAGTTTGAAATCATTTCAATGTACATTTGTATTTTGCCAAAAATATGAGCAAAAAATGTCATTTTGGACGTAACATTGACACCGTGTTAGTGTTACATTCAAATATGACATTTGTACCTTTTTTTTTAAATTTCTGTGAAACATTACCCAAATTCACTTTGCGTGCTTCTTACTATACATGCAACACGATAAGAAAAGCTTTTGTTTTGGTAGTCAGGTATCAAATGGAGCAGAAATAATAGCTTGGTTGTGTGGACGTAACATTTACATGGTGTAAAACCCAATGTCACACTTCCATTGAGTGATTTTTACACCGTTACATCCACACTTGAGGTATTGTTTCTGCTATATTTGAACCCTGACTTTGCCAAAACAAAAGCTTTTCTTGGTGCTTAGGTGTCCAGTTGTAAATATGCAATGTCAGTTTGGGTAATATTTTACATACGTGTAAAAAATGGCCAAAAAAAATATTTGGATGTAACATGGACACGGTGTCAATGTTACGTCCGAATTAATACATTTTGGCACACCCTAAGACAAATATTATGTTGAGCAATTGTTCAGAATGCATTGATACTTTTAATAATATAACCAAATATATGGATGTAACATGCACTGCTTCCCAACCCGGTGGAATGACCCATATTGTTGGTTTTGTATTGCTCGACAAGGTATAAATGTACTGCCTACACACTGGTTAAATTTTCATTGCATTATATATGTACAATGTACGAATATGATAAAGTTTCACCTGTGTGCATGGAGCGGTGTTAGTGAGCTTTTATAGCTAGTAACCCCTGCTGTTTCCAGAGAAGTAATAACATTCTTGCACAGGTGGGAGCCCTATAAATCAGCTCTGTTGGTCCACATTATAAAAAAAAGGAAAATTGTTTATTTTTTTTATGAATTATGTCCATGATATAGAATTAGCCCTGCCTGTGTAGTGATTGCAAGTCTTGTTACCGGGGTACTGGTTTGTTCCCTGATATTTTGAACATTGGTGCTGACATTTTTTACTGACAAAACATTTTCCGACACTTACGTGTGTGTGAATTAGTAAAAAAGGGTTTCAGGAGGGTGGCCAACACACAACGGTGTTCGCAAACAGGATTATCACTCCCAACTTACATACATATTAAATAGGGGTAGATGAAGAACGTCAAGAACAAAGATAGTGGACTTAGACCCCTACCGCAACTTGCGTTAATTTCTGTGCATAAAATTTTACAGTACAGGAGCTCAGCATACCATTAAATGATAACCAAAATTACATTGTACATGTACGTGATCATAGAGTGGGCTTGTCTTTGCCACTTTTTGTAGCTGTTCAGGGATTTTAAATTGTTTTCGTAAGACGATTTTTTCCTTCTTTTAGTGCAGGGTTTTAAAATGGCAGCTGCAATCTTGAATATTTGCCCAGCTGCGCTCCTTATACGCACTTGGGCATTTGTTAATCGGCAACCCAAGAACACTGTTTGCAGGGAGCAGGGTTCGAACGCCCCCTTTGTAACCTTGTTTTTGTGCAAGCCTAGACTTGGATGTATTCTCCTTGTGGAAATGTTCAAGTGTTGTTGCAGTTGAACATTGCAGTGAGATCTTTTGTATTGAGTACATTCAGACGGATGGAAGCACGCTTTTAAACATCTAAAAATGCATCTAAGTTTGCACGACGGACCTTCAACAAAACGTGATTGTGTGCCAACTTGTATTCGGGGCTGGACAGTTTTGGGCGAGATTCAAAAGCAAACAGTGGCAAAAATCTCTTCGAAAACTTTGACAAAGGTTTGACCATCCACTCATTTTAATTCCCAGAATTCATTAATTAAATGTTATTTTCTCTACCGCAACAGGCACAAACTTCTGATAAAATTTCCCCAAAATGGCTGAAACGGAAGACACCGCCGCGCCTTCAGGGAGCGACACAACTGACGGAGCGCCGCTCGCTTACAAGGCCCCGGCGCCAAAATCACTGAAAGAAATACAAGAGTTGGATAAAGACGATGAGAGTCTGGCGAAATACAAGAAATCGCTGCTCGGGGAAGGTGTTGAGGCAGAAGGTTGGTTGAAAGGGGCAGTCTGGGCACCAGACTTCATCTGGGTGATTCAGATCTGGGTGATACAGACGGGAGGCCTGACCTCATATCACATGTCCATATGAAGACAGGCCATGCTTATATGAAGACAGGCATTGAAATGATTCAAAAATCGTATCGGTTTAATGCATTAACCCTCCTATACAAACATACATTCTGTGCCAAGTTGTCCTTTCTGTCAAAATCAATCAAGTGACTGTTTACAATAGTTATAAGAGCTCCCAGCTTACTCAAAGCAGGATTGACTGGCTGTGACCGTTTATGTAACTTGATACACCTACCGTATGTTTTGACTGTAGGTGATTGATAAGCCAGCTGTGCCTACCGTACCACTTGTCTGCTTTTGTCTGTTAGTGAATATGACTAGTCACAGTGCTTGCTGAAATATGATCTGACTGTTGGTGACTAGCCTGTGTAAAAGGCATGGCAGGGGAAGAGGATTGAATTATGTTACTGTCTGTGACTGCTCAGATGGCAGTAGGGGTAACGATATTGCCCCCTTACTGTGATTTGGCTTATATCATGAAAGAAGTCCATCAGGCTGGTAAAATTTCAACTTTGCAAATGAATTTTCTATAAACACAGCCAATTACTTAAGTAGTTTCGTTGACGTTTTGACTAATTTCACTAGTCATCCTCAGAACGAAGCACCACCAGTGATTTGGCTGGCTAATTGTAATCAGTCAGAACAGCTGCCAGTGCCCTATTTGTTCAAGGGGGGATTTTCAAATTAAGACCAAGCAAGAACATGCTGGCCTACTCTGAATCTGCCTGGGGAATTTTTTTTAATTTAGGCTGTGCTCAGACGAAAGCTCTGTCATAATTTGTTTGCAATACTCTGTCATTTTGCATTATGTATGCTGTGGATTGTTTTCAGAAACAAAATCGTAAATGCTTGATTTTCGTAGTGCAGTTGGAATATTGAACAGGCTTACATAGACCCTTCCCAATAGGCAGCCATCTTTGAGCTGATTTGATTTGTGTAATAAAGGTAGAGTTTATCATTTGCAGCTATCCAAAAAGTAGGTGACAAAATTATTGTTCAAAAGCATACTCAGTTTAATGATAGTAATGGCACTTAACTCCCTGTAAAATTATTCTTTCTGGCATGCTGTCATTTCGAAGAAAACAACAAAAGAAGTTAATATGCAAAGATATGTCTAAAAACGAATTTTTAAAATGTCCTTTAGTACATGTAGTGTGTGTTTAATTCGGCGAAGACGTGAATGGGCGCGCACAAGCGTTGACACGACGCACACGTACCGGTACGCATGGTTGCTATTATTCATCAGTTCAGCGCGTGACATCGCGTAGCTGCAATCAGCTGAATGAAAATGTCACGGACACTGATTTCTGGCGCAATTCAAAACATGACTCAGCAACTTTCAATTGGAATCAAAATCCTAGAATTTTGTTTTCTCAGAATATACAACATTCACAGAGTTAATGAAAACTTCATCAGGTTAATTGTTAAAGGGAATGTACATCATTGGCTTTTGCTGTAATTTTCAGAAATGAACTATTTGAGAGGTGAGTATAATAGATCAAATATTGTTACACTGACATTTTTTAAGTTTGGTGTTCGAAAAGGTTGGAAAAACCAAGAAAAACAAAAATGTTCAAGAAGTCTGGTTCCCTGACTCCACAAAAGATAAAATGGATCAATTTATAGATGATGGAAAATTGTAAGGCAAGGGAACCAGTCTAGCTGGCCTGCACCCGTTCATGAACATGTAACCAATAGCAAACCAAATTTGGACTGAAAAAAAATATGGTAAATTTGGAGCAGTAGTTGAAAAATAGTTAGGTTTTTCCAACGCTGGTCGGCCGACCACCGTTGGAAATGTTTACAAAAATACCATTTTCTTGAAAATGACTTCACACCAGGTGCCATAATTGTACAATATGCTTGAGACTGTCATTTACCAACATCCTAGTAAGGTATTTCGTAAAAACTTGGTAGTTTTATTTTTCGATGTTTGCAAATGTTGTATATTCCCTTTAAGCACCCTTCTTTAAATACTGAGTTCTTTTATTGCTTCAAATAAAAAAGAATGCAAAAATTGCAAATGATATGCTCTATCTTCAATGAATGCTCAAGAGATACTACTGATGCACATACCTGTGCAACAACATAATTCACCTCAAATGTGGTGGCAATGCACAAGAACTATTGGAAAACAAATTATGTTTGACATTTTTCTTTCAGCGACTGGGGAGGGTCCCAAAGTCACGCTGCAGGAGTTAGCTCTTATTGTGGAAGACCATGATGATATCGTGTTGGATTTAACAGGTAAGTTTGAGTGTATATTCCAACTACATGTACCTCCGTGTAAAAATTGCATACAGCCTCAATCCTCTTCATTGTGCGAAGAGGATTTTGGAGGATTTACAGAGAGACACGATTATTTGTTGAGCTGCTGTCCGCAGCTAAAAACAATTGTGCAAGGGCACTCTGAAACACTGCAGCCATCGTTGTTGAACTCTGACGTCTTGGGCCAGGACTAACTTTCATCCTATAAAAAGAACTTTCATCCTGTATAAAAGAAGTTTCATTCTTTTCTTTTTCCCTTCTAAGGTGATCTTGCAAAGCTAAAGGAAAAGACTTACTTGATCAAAGAAGGTATTGTCTACAAAGCAAAGCTAACATTTGTGGTAAGTACTTATCACCATGATGTAGTTCCTTTTTTATCCCCCTGACTTTAGCCAAGAAAGGGGGATCTTGCGATAGTGTATTTCTTCTGCCCGTGTGTTGTGTGTTCCATTTTGGTTAGGTTAACTGTTTAGTGCTGTCATATGAAAGTCAATCTTTTGGTAGGGGGACTTCAGATGACTTGAGCAATTCAGGTCAAAGGTCAACTAGGGGTCAAATGAGGTCACAGTTGATTTTGCTCAGGTCAACTGAAAAGTGTGCTTACTAGTTGACTTTATAAATACTGCCAGCATGCTAGGGGATTGCAATTTAACTTGCATACATTTTTTTATGTTCAAGAGAAGAGGATACTTACCTACATGACTCCCATAGAGTATTCTGGCTAGAAACGCTGCTAAATGCAGCAACATGCAACACTTGTCAAAAGGACAAGCCTGCTCAGTGTGTTACACTCAGCAGGCTTGTCATTTTAAACAAGATTCATCAGGTCAAAAATATCAAGGCCTACCATAACTGCCTCAGAGTCTGCATTTGGTCACCAACTGCAGCAGGATACAATACGTGTGGTTCTCGATACAGTGAGCCACCAAGAGGTTACCATGGAGAGTCAGTTTTTTGCAGTGCATTGTGGGCAGCCTTGACTCCATGGGCGCGTGCGCGTTCTTTCACTAGCCCCTGGCAGCATGAGGGATAAGTTATGACGCTGATAACCGGCTTTTCAGAGCGTACTGCGCAAATATTTGAAGACTGCATGTCACGTCATGTGATGTACGAACATTTTTTCAAGACTGCGCAATGCCTATGCGATGTTGAGTCTGGAAGCCTGCTCGTTTTTCGCCCAAAAGTACTTCACGTCATCCTAACGTATATGTAATTTTTAATTACTTACAAGTACTCGACTACTCGCCCAGGCCTCGACTACTCGCCCAGGCCTAGTGACATGCACTGTGGAACGGGAGATGCTCGTGCCATTTATATTGGAATAATTAGACTTTGTGGCCCGAAACACCCTTTATCCCCAAATGATTGTTTTTCTCCTCGCAATAATTAATATCAGAAATGCTCTCAACCATTTTCGTGCTGGTTATTAGCATGGGAGTCGTCAGCCGACATGAATATGTGGCCCGACCTACCGGTATAACAAACACACCGGGGTCTGTAAAAGTTTGTTTGGCAGTCATTTGTTATTGAACTTAATCCTGCAACAAGTACTGTGTTGAACCGCCCATAACATTTGTTTGTTACGCCAAGTGCTTGGAATACAAGTGTAGAATGGTATTCAACTGTAGGTAACATGGCTTCATTTGTTTACAGGTGGAGAACGATATTGTTGCAGGCTTGAAGTATGTGCAGGTATCCCACAAAACACTTGCTCCAAGTAAGAACTTTCAACATTTTCGTTGTTAACTAGTGTGCGTTTTTATCAGGGTATCAGTCTGCTGGCTCTGGAGCGCTGTGCTCCAGTGGTTACAGTGTTTGACTCGCATGCCGCGGTACGAGGGTGCGAACCCGGTTGGGGAACATATGGTGCTTGTGTTCTTGGGCAAGACACTTTACTACAATTGCCTAGCTCTCTCCACTTAGGAGTTAACATGTGTAATGGGTACCTGTGAAGGTACATTGTAGAGACCAGAATGTACTGATCTGGAAATGCTGCAAAAACTGGTCTCGTGGCCTGATAACAGTAGCCTTTAGTCAAGTCCCACGCGCCTATACCCGGACCATCTGGACACATAACGCACCCTTGATGCTGGCACGTAAAAAGACTAGCACGAGCGGCAAAGCCGCGAGGGCCTTTACTTTCTCGTGGAACTAATCACTTATTCATTTATTCACGTAATATAAATCAAGCAATATAAACCAATCATCTAACGGTGGTTTGCGGTTACCAGCAACTCGCGTGCCCAAAAATTAAAACTCGCGTGCCCAAATAAATGTCTTAGTCACCCAGTGAAAAATGAATACTATGTGGCATTGTGTGTTTAGTTTCATTGCGTGTGTTTGTTTATGGTGTAAATCGAGGACACACCCGTGCAACATCATCGATGAATTGAGGACAGGAACCAAATCGTGGACTTCTCGGTTAGAAAAACATGTACAAAACCAAAAAGAGCTGTTGCAAAAAAAGTTAGAGTATAAACAAAGGACAAGGGAAGAGGAACAATAGAAAATACTCGATTTACACCATAAACAAACGTGGGCGCGTTTGTCTATTCAAACCGTGGACGAAAAATTCCAGAGAGAAAAAAAGAGAACAATATCGTCCATGATTCCGAGCATACGTCTGCGATTGGGGTCGTGTACAAAACCTATGGGAATCTTCCTAAAAAGTACAAAAGGAAAGAGGGACAATAGGATGTCCATGATCGACGGTGTGAACACGACTGTATGAATATGTGTGCGTTTGTTTATGGTGTAAATCGAGGACACACACGTGCAACATCATCGGTGAATCCAGGACAGGAACCAAATCAAGGACGACCTCGATTAGAAAACGTGTACAAAACAAATGAGAGCTGATGCGAAAAAGTTAGAGTACAAACAAAGGAAAAGGGAAGAGGAACAAAAGAAAATCCTTGATTTACACCATAAACAAACGTGTGTGTTTGTGTGTGTGTTCATTTGATAAGTGAAGTGCCCTCAATAGGCAATGCAAAATGGATATGTTAAAAATCAGACAGCTTTTAATTTTGAAAAACTGTACAATTTTACTTTGAAGGCGACACATCCACCTACATGCTGGGAAGCTACGCCCCCAAGAAGGAAGCCCACGTCTTTACGGCGCCCGTGGAGGAGTTTGCCAAGGGCATGCTTGCCCGGGGACACTACACCGTCCAGAGCAAGTTCCTGGATGATGACGGGCGAGAGTTCCTCAGCTGGGAGTGGGCGTTTGACCTCAAGAAAGACTGGGAGTAGTTTGGCAAGAGGGTAGTGAAATTTGCAAATCTAGGGATTGTACTGGTACATTCTATGAACAGGGGCTTACAGCATTGTCTATTTTGTTTTATGCATCACTACTTGTGACTACAGGATTATGTGTGTGAGGCAGTCGCATTCTAGAGGCTAGTATAATGACAATAGAGTCAAGAACATTCTGTAGCCATGGGCAAGGACATGTATGTACATGTATACACTTATTGACTGGCAATGAGGTCACTAGGGCATGTCTATTCACTGGTTGAATAGTTTGAGGTTGCTAGTGCATGTACAATTTTAATAGATTTCTCTCATGGGACGCCATCTTTGTGGAAAAATGACTACTGCGTGTTCAACGCCATCAGGTGCGTGTGCTTGCAGTGTACAAAATTATCTAAACACGCGCACGTGTGGCTAGAAATTTCTTCAAAAATACGGCGCAGCTAATGCGCGTCATGAAAATCTGACGCCCAAAATGACGATGCATGTGGCGATCTGTAGAAAGTGACGTAATTTGAGAGAGACCTATTGGATCAAGTGCATTCTGTAGCCAAGGGCTAGTATACACATATTGACTGGCAATGCGGTCACAAGTGCATGTCTATGCATCCTAAGGGGCTGGTGGTAGAGACCAAGGGGGCTTAGGCGTGCACTAGTGACTAATAATGCCAGCCAGCATGTGTTTTGAGACACACTACAATCTGTTAAGCCCCTATTTTTCTTGTTCTGATATTCTTGCAAACTCCCAAAATGGTGCTCACGCCAGTCAAAAAACAATGAGTGTGCTGCCGGACAGAGCACGTTATACGTACTTAAAAAGCGCACAAGTGATACTCGACTACCATTTAGTTCAATCTCAATGCACATTTCATACATACACATGTATTAATGAACCCCATGTGACCGTGTTTTAGCCAACCAGGATATAGAATGAGGGAATGTAGCATTAATCGTGTGAGCTTTTCACTTTCTTCCAAACAGGCAAGTGCATTTATACATGTAAGTCATATTGTTATATTGTAATTTCATTGGTCGAGAACAGCCACGTGTCCAGTCTGTAAAAACGCATATACATGTATACCATGATTAACCTCATGTAAAATGCGCATTGCACACCCGCGTGTAGAACCTGCACGCGCGCTTGCAACTGAGAAAGTCCAGCATTCAATGCGCAACCGCTAAGTCTCATGTCCTGCAGGAAAGCCTGCAGTTATCAAGAGTTATCATTACACCACACTGATTTAATTTATTTCTTGCATTGTAAGTTACAACCATAGGCTTTGCCTATGGCTTTGCCTATGCACTCCTCGGGTGTTAAAAAAGCAGCATATCCCAGATCACAGCAGTCAACAATTGTTAAATCTAGCTCATTCTGCAGCCACAGGTTATAACATCCGTGCTGCCAGAGTATAGTCAATTTCTCATAGTCCACATGAGGCCTGTCTCGTTTTCGCATGAGCTTCAGGCACCGTCAGCAAAGCATTCAAATGTCTATCCCAGTGGTCTCCCAAACTGTCCCCTTGCAACTGTCGAGCGGTTACTTGTGCATTACAAGTCTATAGCATTACAAGCAAACAAATTTTAAGTTTTCAGTGCGGCCATCTTTGTCTGGTTCTCTGAGACAGGTCCATGTTTTTTTGTTGTATGCAGAAGTGCCTCTATATGGATCCCTCCTATTGAGAATCACTTCCCTGAGCCAACTGTTTCCAGAAAACAAATCCATTGTCTTATAATTATGAGCATTATGTGTTTTTATGCATTTATGAAACTATTGGAACCTACTTACGCAATTAAGTTTCAGATTTTGTGTATATGTTTTAGTTATGTTTTCCACATAATAGTAGTTTGTATCTAGCTTTTATATTGCTACCAGGTGCCATACTGAGCATTAAGGATTTCTCTGGCCAATGGTTCTTGCCTTTTATACACACCAAGATTAAATACTTTTGCAGGGCATCTATTGTTAAACGTTTTTTAGTAAATCATTTTGGAAGCACTTTCTTGCCGAACAAAACAAGAAGAAATACCAGTGTGAATCAGAAAAAAGTCTATATTTGACTTCGTCTTATACTGATGAAAATGACCAAATTTGGATTTTAATTAAGTGTGCTTCGAAACCGGGTACTAGAGTGATTTCAGGAACCGGTTCCAGATTATGGGATCGGGTACCTGTAACCAACTTTACAAAAACTTTTGATTTGTATGTTAGAAATATATTGTTGAAAAAGGGTTTGTATTGAATTATTATCATGTTACCCTAAAAATGTCAATGTATTTTTGGACAACCATTTTATTCCTAAAACATTAACTGACCGTGTCGATTTTCACACAATTTGTTTTGCTCATTCCACCAAACTTTTAGTAAATATTTTAAGTTAGCTTTTGTCTTGCCATACAAAAAGGGTGCTACAAATGTATGTTAAGTTTTACAGGAACTTGTTGGCGAAGGGCAAGACCTAATTTGATTTACATCACCCCGACGCCAAATTCCATCCTGTGAATAGTTAATGTGGTACCCGCTGCTATGTGATTCGAACCAGCCAACCATTCCCGATGGTCGAGTGGTAAGACATCCGCACTAGAAAGCAGGAGGTTGTGGGTTCGAGTCCCACCCGAGTGATTTTTTTCCAACTTTTCACTCGGGAGGTAACACACTGAGTATACAGTGTTTATACGTCGGTGAAGGGCAAGACCTAATTTGACTAAGTTTCACAGGAACTTGTTTGTTTTTAACTGTGGCCAGCAATTGCCCTAACACTCCTGATTCCTTCAAAATCCACCGGCAGGTTTGAAAGGTTTTGTAGGATTGAGGAAAATGAAGTGATACAACCCAGCCACTATTAAAATACTTTCTATTGGGCTTGCATTCCTCCAAAGTACGAAGAATGCATCATTCATTTTCTGCACATTGGTGGATATTGGAGGATCAACGAAGGTTCCTCTCCAGGGATAAAACAGTAATTGCTTACCGTGAATCCCTCTTTTCAAACAAAACCCGAGTACATAGCTTATATTTGGGTTTTTGCCCAAGCTCAGCTGTAATCAGGATAATCTCAAAATTTAATGCCCACAAAAAGCAACCAGCAGGAAGCAATTACATGTATAGTATCACTTGACTTAATGACTTGTTTGTATTAACCCTTCCCAAGTGGCCTAAATGCACATTTCAAAAAATATATTATCTAGTGTAACATTTGTTTAAGTCCAGAAATAGAACAATGCACAAAACTGGAAATCCCAAATTATGGGGCTGCACATGTGTACTTATTCTACATAACCCCCGAGGACAGACGCACAAAGGAAGAACAACAGATCCTTTCAGTCCTCGGGAGTTGGGTCTTTTGTTCAAAATGGTCCTCTGAGGTTTGTGTGCTTAGTCTATAGCAGAGTGTTATATTACAGGGACAAAGGAAAACACAAAGCATTGTCCTTGGGAGTATAGTAAAACAAGAGTCAGTTGCCTGTAAGGTGTGTGTGTGTCCAGAGAGGATGGACTGGACCTTGGTCTATGCCAGGACTGACCGCCTGTGGTTTGGCAAACTGCCTTATGGGATTAAAGGCCTAATGTCATGGCACTGCTAACCACAGAACTCTGTGCTAACGATCACCATTTTGTGCTAACCGCGCAAGCAGAAAAAATTCTGTGCTAAGGCCACAAAAAAAAATCTCCGGTTTCTGGTATGGAGCTTGCCCAAAATGTGGTGCGGCGACGCGGCTTTTTTTTTTTTTTACCTGATTTTTTTGCTTCAAATCATTGAAATGTCAGCTGATGACTGCAAATGGTGCCCGACTAAACTTAGTGCAAATATATGGGAGTCCAGAGAGGCCACACAAAGCTTATTCTCGACCATAACCCAATCTAAAAACACGTTAAAATTATGCAGCAGCAGGATTCCAGTCAAACCAGTGAGTTTGGTGGTTTTGAGACATCATCTTACATTGAAAAAAAACCTTTTTCATTTTGCCGATGCGCATGGCTACGGCGACGCGCGCGCATACCAGAAACCGGAGACTTTTTTGGGGGGGCCTAACCCTGTGAGCACAGAATCCATATCCTTAGTTACGTGATTTACGTGTATGCTTGCATGTGCAGAAGCCATGGCAAGTTCTTTTCTAACCCTTGAAATACGCTTAAGCACAGAATTTCTGCTACAGTAAGCAGGGATTTTTCACTTACGGTAAGTAGAGCCATAAAATTGGGCCTAGATGCTGTTGCATTGGGATGAGTCACTACAAGATAAGCAACGAAATCCAAATATGGAAAATATAGCCTGGCTTTTAAAAGGCGTATACGTGACTGTTATTAAAGTGAAACTCCATTAGAGTTTTTAATAGTTAAAAAAGAGAGGGTACCAGCATAAGGATAATTGAAAGAAAAATAAATTGTAATTGTTTAGTTAATATGTTTATTTTGTCTATATATTCGAATACCACATTTTGTTTTATGTTCGGTATATTGTTTTTACATAAAAATTGTATTGAATGAAAATGTACTGACGTGGGAATATTGAGATCTGGAGAAAAATCATGACAATAAGACTCTTGATTTTAAGCGTCGGATCAGGCTGGAAAAATATGATAACATTTTGAATTTGTAATGAACTTGACCAAAATGATTATTGATAGAGAATTAGTCTAAAAAGTTAAAAATATTTTTGTTTGTGTTTTTGCACTGGGTATCCCAATTTGTAAGCATTAATCATCTTGCAAACAAACCCCCATGAAACTGTTGTTCATGCATAATTCATTTTAATTTGTGCTTAGTATTGGCTTCACTTGGGCATTCACGCTTCAGTAATAGCTTTATTATATTGTAAAAGATTGTTGAAATTGATAATACATATTTTATTTTGCCATATATTACACATGCCCGTGCATGTACTTGAATGTATCAATCCTGTATGATATAAATACAGGCATTTTAATGATTAGATTCTGCCGGGCAAAATGCATAATGACAATCGATTTGAACATTTTCCCCATCATGCTTATGATTGTGATAATATAAAAAAGCAAAAACTAAGGTTTTTCAAAAGAATAGAAAAAACAAAATCAGCTGCCTCAGTGTTACAGCTTGCTTGAATTAAAGTCTAGTATATACATGTATGTGAAACCGAAATATTATAAGGGGATCAGGTTTAGGATGCTGCTTGAATTAAGACTGGTCTTTTGGATTTACCATCATCACTGAATGGTTTCCCCACAAATTTGTAGCTGGTCGCAACATAATAAGCACTGAATTAAAAAAAGGTCAACAAAGGAATATGAAAATGTTCTGTTTTGTTTTGTGGAACAGTTGTTTTTTTTCTCATTTAATAGTGATAAAAACAAAGTCCTCGATAAGATTTCAATATATGAGATATACCACAAAAATCGAAATTGATTTTAAACAAAAATGATCAACTCTTCATTTGTCTCAGCCACAATTATCTCTGAATTTGATCAAAAAGAACGCCAGTATGTATAACCTGCTTTATAATTATCAATGCTTTTACTCAAATGTTATCATAAGTGACACGTTGCCTTTTCTGATATCAGTGTATTGTAATTGTTTTGTATAAGAAAAGGAAAAACATATATTTCCATTGTTTCTGAACTGCATTGAAGAAACTATTGTTTCGAGTAAAACAGTATTAGAAATGTTCTTGCCTCGATTATTAAAGAAAAAAATAGTATTGAAAGCTAATTGCCTCAAAGAACAAGTTACGGTGCTCAGTCTGCCTATCAAATGGTTACTTTTTTTATTGTCATAAGCCAGCAACTTGGAAAGGGTCCATTTTGTTTTGGAACATTTTTAAAGAGAAGTGCATGCTAACGAAAAAAAGTCTTCCTTTGAAAAGTAATCGCACATGTATGCCATATTAAAGACAATCATAAAATATGCACACTAAACTTTGTGTCAGTTGTTGTTTTGTTTATTAACAGCTCTATAAATATGCCAGGAATTAAGGCCTATACTTTAGTACTGGGAATAACAAAATGATTTTCTTTGCTGTGTCCATGTTCTAGTATCCTTTGAAGTTGTTTCATTTCAGAGACTTAATGGCTCATAGCTTTTAATTCTCAATCTGGATTAAAAATGAAATATTTACTCAATAATATGAAAATCAAACACTTTTAGGACGATTTCGTTCTTACAAAGAGATTTAATTTGGCCTACAACTGTGAAAAAAAATAGTTGTAAAAAATGTTTTCAGTATATAAAGCATTTGAAAAAAACATGTAGGCCTATACATTTATCCGAGTGAATTTTTATCCTGGCCCAAATGCTTACTGATTTGAAACAATTAATTATGGAATAATTTGTTGATCTTTAATAGCTGACCAAGGGGAAACCTTATAAACAGTCAGATAGATTTTTAATGGATTAAAATGTTTTCATTTTGCCGGGTGATTGTATTTTGCAAAAGCAGCCGAAAGCAACCAACTAGCTAAGGACACGACCGGGTCATGGGTCACTTTCAACCAATCACGTAGCCCCACGGAAGGAGGCAGGTCGTATATTACGCATGCGCAAACAATACAGGTTCTCTTTGCCACGTTTGCCAGGTGCCGCGTCTACTTTTCGCTGTCCACTTGGTCTTTAAATCGTGTCCAAAATGAAGTTTTTCGCCGTTGTGCTTGCCGTTTTGGCTGCTACTGTTGTTGCTGTTGATGTCGAGGTGGAGGAGGATGTCGTCGTTTTGACGGACGACAATTTGGCTGCATTTGTTGCCGAAAATAAGCACGTGCTCGTCGAGTTTTGTAAGTTCCATTTGTCAGTGTCTTGAACTTGAATACGTATGTTTGTTGTGGCCTATTTCATTTGTTCAGTTGCATGCTCATTTGGCATGTTTGAGGGGAGATGGGAACTAAAAAAAAAGAAGACAGACATGTCAGCATTTCGTTTGCAAGTGTTAATTTATGAAATACATGAGTAATATATTGCTCTATCTGTCATCATGGTTAGGGTTAGCCCCATAAATGTGGCCTATTTACTGGACTGCCTCCGTAAACATAGGCCACACATCCACATGTACAAAAATCGTGTCGACTTTGCCAAATTTTGATTTTCACATTTAGGCTTAGTTTGTAGGATTTGTTTGCTTTAGAAGCATACTCGCCCTCTTTATAGGCTAATCAGAAAGTGCTGCCTTTTTCAGATGTATATTTTTCGTGAAATTTCCAGATTCATTTTTACACGTTTGCGTATCAAAATTTCAACATGAAATTTCACAAAAATTAGACATCTGAAAAAGGCAGCACTTTCTGACTACAGACTAGCCTATAAAGAGGGTGAGTATGCTTCTAAAGCAAAAAAATCCTACAAACTAAGCCTAAATGTGAAAATCAAAATTTGGCAAAGTCGACACGATTTTTGTACATGTGGATGTGTGGCCTATGTTTACGGAGGCAGTCCAGTAAATAGGCCACATTTATGGCGCTAGGTTAGGGTGGCTTTTTTGACGAATATATTTTCTACATTTGTTTTTGATCAGTTGGTGTGGTTTTGAAGACAAAAACTGAAAAGAAAGAAGCATTTTAATTAAATACAAGTTTGGATTTCGATTTTCGTTGAACATTGTCGGAATGTGTAAACGAAAGAAAAATGGATTTAAACCAGGTGTTTTACCTAGTGTTTTTTGAGACACTGAAATGTATTTACAAATGTAGGCCTAATGTAGTCCGAGTAACTTGGACCCAACTTATCGCCTTTTTTAACATTTGGACGTGGTCTGGCGATAGTAAGGTCCAAGCTAATACTAGTGCGAGCTGGACAACATCATCCTGTCACTGTCCCAAAAACCAACATTTTCCAACAAAATACATCAGATTTCACCCTCAAAACGGCCTCCAAATTACTAGATATGCCACCTGAGGTATAAGTAGACATCGATGATTAAGATGGTTGTACTGAAGTTTACTTACGATCCGGAAGAAAAGTGAAATTTCCCGTTCAATTCTGAGAACTCCCCTCGCAAATTGTGACTTGAAAATTTGGGGAAAATATCTTGTTAAAGTTGTAAATGGTACATGTATTTATCATTCAAAAAATGACTTTTGTGACCTAAACCCTACCTCAAACAATCAGGTTTTTTTTCTGACAATGACCGTGCAAAGTCTGTGAAGAGTCAAGAAAATGTTCTTGTATTTTCTAAAAAAAAATTTGAAATGTTTCTCAGTTCCAGATTCATGTCTTTTCATCATTTTTGCATTTTTGCAAAACTCTGTAAGAATACAGAAAATGCAGACTTGGTTTCATGAATGGAATACACTTGTTAACCATCTAATGTTTGTTCATGTTAAAATTATGGGATAATTTAAATTGTCAGTGCCTGCGGGCTAATTAACATTTTTATATTTTAATCTTATGATCAGCAGAACTGTATTGTTTCATTGTGTCACTGTATGATGTAGTGCATATTGCGCAAAAAAGGCCACGTGCTGCTCCATGTAAATGTACATGTACATGTGCGCCACTACCAGTTTTGTGGGAAGCAGATGCCATATGGTAGGTACTGGTAGTGTGCATGAAGCAGTGAAGAAAATGCGAAAAAGACTTTATGACAGAAATGTTTTAACCCTAACCCCCAAAGAGTTCATTTGGAGTAAAGTACCACATAGTACAAAGTACTACAAAAACTATGTACATGTACATGTATGTTGGTACCAATGGCTAGAAAATACTATGAGTTCTTTGCCCACTGATATGCTTAAGTACTGCATACTACAGTTAAGTATTTTTGTAGCTTTAGGTGAGCTTAGGGTTAATGACGGAAATTTGGAAAAAGGTGAATGAAGAATATTAAAAAGTTTGATAATTTATCAAAGTTGGAGAGAGGAATCATCTAGATTGATTTTTGTTTTTGCTATGCGTCTTGCTGAAACTGCCAAAATCCAACGGGCGATTTACAGTGCAGTAAACCGGTTATATTTTGTTCGTGTTTAAACAAAACAAAAATATAGAAAAAGTAGTTGAATCAGTTGATACAATCATACAAAATCAGGTGTTGGATAATGATGCAAGATTTGGTTCCTCTAAATGTATTATCTATTGAACTCTTGCGCAAGTGTAAAAAAAAAAGCTCACTGTCGAAAAAGGAAAGGTCCTAATTTGCATAGGCCTTATTACTCATTCCTAGAGGAAGAATGCATTTCCTTTAAGTTACATGGGTTATCTTTGGTGGAAATATGTACACGTGTACAAATTGCACCGGTCCCATGTGGATTAGCCGTTGAAGTTATTCATTTCGGGGGTTTCCTAGGTAATACATGGCAGTCGTTTTTATTTTTTCAAAAGGAGACTCAAATTTCTGAATTTAAGTCCACATGATTGTAGTGAACCATATGGTAACTTGGGTTTGTATCATTGTGAGATGCTACATTTTATTTGCACACCTGTATGTTTGCATCAATTACTGCGATCACTATCACGATCAAAATAAAAGTGTACTCAAGGAAAGCCTGCTTGCCATTTGAAGAGAATTGGATAAATATCCACACAGAAAATGAAAGAAATTTCCCACACCTTAAATACAAATAGGCTAACCGACAGTCTACCTGTATTTGCCTTCAATTCACAAACGGCTTCGTGGTGTAAAGCCACGTCAGCTTTAGGCTTAAAGTGCCCTTTTATGCAGGCAGGCTAAGCTGCCAAGGTTTTCATTCATGATGAATCATGCTGTGTACTGCGATATGCTTGTTATCTGATACTGTTGATAGTGATGTCTCTGTCACTAAGGTTTTGCTGGAGCCCATGTGTCCTGTTTCTCACAGGGCAACCGAAGCGTACAATTCTATTGTTTGCATTGTGTCTTTTCTGTTAGAAATAAAAATTTCATTATGACTTGGGGTGTAATTATTTTTTTAATCGGGCAAAAGTGGCGCATGGTTCCCTGTGTGTAAAGAGGTTTGGCAGTTTAGAATCCTATACATTTGTTGTAATATTTTATCAAATTTTAGGATGCGTTTCTTTTTCATGTGTGGATATTAAATGCAATTTACAGATGGATAGATGTTACAGCTGTTGAGGTTCACAAATGTTATTTTAATTTTTTGGACATCTGCTCATTGAAACTTCCCCTTTAACCTTCCCCTTCCTCCCCTCCCCGAAAACGACCCTGTAACATGACCTGAATATTATAATTTACCATTTAATATTTAAATTAGAGGTGAGCTTTTTTGTCCAAAACCTTGCAGTTAGTAATTTAAAGTAGATACATGTAGATCTGTGTTCGTGAAATTGGCCCTATTGAATTCAACTGGAAGAGCTCTGTAGAGATAACAGTACTCATATTCTTTTTTCTATAAAAGACCCTAGACTTTAGATATGAAAGTGCAACAATAGCGTGTGGAACCTTTGTGTACTACCTCATATGGTACAGTTCTGAGAACAGTTCTGAGAATTGTTTGGCATTTTGCAGTAATCGTTGCAAACCTTATACATGTAAGCAAAGTTTGGTTTAGTTGTAGATAAATATAGCAGCAATTTTATGTTTTCTATTGTGGAAAAAAAGTCAGGTGATTTGCATGTACATGTATACAGTAAACACAAGACTAAATCACTGTTGAACAAGTCTGTAGCCTTGTCAACTTGACCTTGATTATGTCTGGGAAAAAAACCAACATTTGCTCAATAGTCCATATCAAAGTCTACTTTTTGAACCACTATTTTCATGCACATGTACATGTATGTATGTACATGTACATGTACATGTACGAACGTGTACATGTAGATGACATACATTGTACTAATGTTCATTTGTTTTTCATGTGCGAGAAGCAAAAAATCTTTTGAATTCTCATTTTAACATGGAAACATTGTATTGTGTCAATTACTGTCAAATAAGTGTTCTAAGGATTATTTTGTTGCCCGGGGAAAATCATCCACTGAAAGAAAAAATGTGTTGTGTAGGTAAATTCCCAGTATATTGTATCTGGTTATGAAATTCATGCAATCTCCTAAACTTAACATGCCACTGTTCATGCAGAAGCAAAAAGGAAGATTGATAGAATTTATGTACATAAGCAAGATAAATTAATAAAGAAGCTTACCCAACCACTGTTACATACCTTACATGAGATTTAAGGTAAAACATGTTTTTCATGCCGTTTAATTTGGACAATTTTGGAAGATGCAAATATACATGTAAAGTAGGGGTGTGCATTGGAACTGGGTACCCGGGTACCCGACTGCTGATGCCAGGAGCACTGGAACTGGGTACCCGGGTACCCGACTGCTGATGCCAGGAGCATTGGAACTGGGTACCCGGGTACCCGACTGCTGATGCCAGGAGCATTGGAACTGGGTACCCGGGTACCCGACTGCTGATGCCAGGAGCATTGGAACTGGGTTCCCCGGGTACACGACTGCTGATGCCAGGAGCATTGGAACTGGGTACCCGGGTACCCGACTGCTGATGCCAGGAGCATTGGAACTGGGTACCCGGGTACACGACTGCTGATGCCAGGAGTATTGGAACTGGGTACCCGGGTACACGACTGCTGATGCCAGGAGCATTGGAACTGGGTACCCGGGTACACGACCGCTGATGCCAGGAGCATTGGAACTGGGTACCCAGGTACACGACTGCTGATGCCAGGAGCATTGGAACTGGGTACCCGGGTACACGACTGCTGATGCCAGGAGCATTGGAACTGGGTACCCGGGTACCCGACTGCTGATGCCAGGAACTGGTTCAAGATATGGGATCGGACACCCATAACTAACTTTACAAATTACTTAGTAACTTCTCAGACAATGAAAAAGAAAGATTTTGTGTCAGTTTTGAAATGTCATTCGTGGGGAATTTTCAAAATGAAATCATGCTACATGGAAAACCAAAACAGATTTCACTTATATGTGCATTTAATGCGCGAAAGATGACACTCGTGAAAGTTGCAGTTTAGTTTATACTGTAAAGCTATAAAGCTGTTCAGACATGTCAGACAACTTCCGGGATTTAAATTTTGGTGTTGGATAGGGTTTCTTTTACAGGTACCCGGTTTTTACTTCAATAGCCGAAAAGGGTATCCTGTTCCTATAGATACTACCCTTAAATGCGCACCAATAATGGGAAGTAAGGGTAAATTCTGGTTTTAACCTGCTTAAGCATGTCGTGGTGACATGTGTGAAGGCAAGAAACACATACAGGTACCTGAACAAGAAATCTCAAGAGGGATGCAAAAGTGGGAGTGTAAAGTTGAATGCATTTAAGCGCATATGTTCACATACATATAGCTGTGAAATTTATTATGCTGGTATACATGTAGGACGCAAGCACCGATTCAGTATACATATCGAGTGGTCATTCAACATCCATTTAAAGCATCATAATACATTTGATTTGTCTTGTCATTTCTACAGACGCACCTTGGTGTGGCCACTGCAAATCCCTGGCTCCGGAGTATGCCAAGGCGGCAGGCTCTCTCAAGGAATCCGGCTCTGAGATTAAATTGGCCAAGGTGGATGCCACCGCACAGACAGAATCGGCAAAGACATACGGCGTGCGTGGCTACCCTACCCTGAAATTCTTCAAGGATGGCCAAGTTAAGGACTACTCAGGTAAGAAATTGATTCTGATGTGGGTCCTTTTCACAAGAAGGAACACAACTGTTTTTTTTTCACTTTTGTAACACTTGTTGGAAAGCTTAGGGAGTAAGGGTTAATTTGCTGAGTACCACAAAGTGGACAAACTTTAACATCCAAATATTAATTTATTTTGGATGACAGGTGGAAGGACCACAGCAGAAATCATCACATGGCTCGAAAAGAAGACAGGCCCGCCAGCAAAGGCCATCGAGACCCCCGAGGAGGCCGAGGCTCTGGAGAAAGCCAACGAAGTGGTTGTCTTTGGTCTGTTTGCTGACAAGGAATCGGACAAGGCCAAGGTTTTCCTGAGTGTGGCTGGCGAGATGGACGACGTGATCTTTGGTATCTCATCAGCTGAGGCTGTTTTGAAGAAGTATGAGGTCACTGATGGCATTGTCCTGATGAAGCAGGTAAGGTTCCCCCACCCCTTTTCTATTTCCATCCCCATCCCCAACGCCATCTCACACCCACACCCCCACCTCAAACCCCACCCCAACCCTCACACCCCCAGCCCCGGCCCCACCCCAGCTCCAGCCCCAGTCCCAGGCCCAACCCCGGCCCCACCCTGGCCCCACCCCATCCCCCTTCGGCATCCCTCTTCCGCATCCCTTCACCTCAATCCCCATCCCTATCTCCCCACACCCAGCAGCTATCTCCCCACCCCATCAACCATTTCTAATGCCGTTGACATAATCCATCTACAGTCGCTCTTTTGTTGGTCATCGTTTCTGCAATGCAAAATGTAATGTCGAGTGGTTAAACCTGCCTGTTGATTGGATATATGTTGTCTTTTTGTCCAGTTTGACAACAAACGTGACAACTTTGAAGATGAAATGACTGCAGAAAATGTCAAGAAATTTATCATGAACAACCGCCTGCCTCTTGTCATCGAGTTCACTGACGAAGTAAGTTTAATTCAGTGCTTTCCCACTTTGATTTTTTCCCCTTGCACTAACTATCAAAATTAATTGATTTCTTGAGATCCATGTGTTATTGTGTAAAGGACCATGCTGGGTCATTCTGTGTCAATCAACACACCTCCTTGAGCCAATCTTCCAGATTTTCTTTATAAATTTTTAGTATTATTTGGTCACATTAGAGAACTCCACAACCCGACCTTTATATATTCTGGATCATGTGGTTTGTGAGTTGCAAGTAGTTTGACTTCTGTACCTGATGGTTTTTCACTATAACTTTGGATGTCTGTATTTCCAGTTAGGAAAGTTGGACAGAGATGATTTCCATCCAAAATGTATACAAGTCTTAACATATAAGAAATTATGTAGTTTACAAATGAACAAGAAAACCTTGACATTTCAGTAAGCAGATCACAACTTAGAATTTTTGCCCCCTCGTGTCAACAAAATTTAAAAGCCTTGGGTGTACAAATGTACTCATCGCGCACATGAAAATAAAAATGGGATTTCAATGGGTTTAGATGAGTTTATATGAGATCAGTGGTGTGATATATATATTTTCTCTTTGTGTTTTGACCAGACTGCACCCAAAATCTTTGGAGGAGACGTGAAGGTACACAATCTGCTGTTCATTGGCAAGGATGACGAGAAGTTTGGAGACATTCACAGTGCCTTCAGCGAAGTTGCAAAGGACAGCAAGGGAGAGGTATTGTAGATGTCCAGATTTTGTTGTCGCCCGTAGAATTGTTTACACTATTTTCAACAAACGTCTTGTTTTCAGGCTCTGTTGTTAACCCTTTAATAATCATAATGGAAAATAACTGCGAAAACTGGACAGAATCACAACAGTACCGGTACATAATTGCTGTCAAACGTTTGCAAATCGTCGGTAGCGGATCTTTCATTTATTTATAATTATTGGTGTTTGGCCTGGATAGTCCACAAATATATTTCAACTTGATTCTAGTGGGGTCCCTTGGTAGAAAATGGGAAAGGAAATAACAGGAAAAATCCTGGAATGATATAGGGAAACCCATGGAATCAAGTAGGAACTAAAAATCCAACCCACATGTTTACCTGGGCAGGAATGGAACCCTGATTATTATTATTATTTATTATTTCTGGTAATGAAACCACAGATTCCTCAAAAGCACCCGAGGCACTCTAGCTTGCAAGCCTGAAGAAACCTTGTAGAGTAAAAACAATGAGAAGAAATTACAGTTTTTTAAAGATATTTGAGGAAAACCCCAGAAGAATATTCTGGGGGAAACCCACGGAATCAGGCAGGGACTGAAAGCCCAATCCACACATTGGCCTAGGCAGGAATAGCACCTAGGTCAACCTGACCTTACAGCCAACTTGTATTGCAAAGAAAGGAAAATTCCACATGGCAGCCCGATCCCTCAAGAACAAAAATTCTTGTATTTTAAAACTGAGTATTGGGACAGATAATTGTAAAGTGATGCATTCGGCTTAAACAAATTAGGAGATATGTAAAATCGATTCAGTAATCCAGAAAACTTTATGAGTGTTGACCTTTGCTGTCTCCACAAATAAGTCATCAAGACCTGAAATAACTATTGAAGTCATGATTTGTTTAACATTGCCCCACAGATGCTGTTTGTTCTGATCAACACCGACAAAGAAACCAACGCCCGCATTACGGAATTTTTTGCCATCACTAAAGAAGGCCTGCCCACCATGAGGATCATCGTCCTGGCCGACGACATGAAGAAATTCATGCCAGAGTCCAACGAGTTGACCGTGGATGCCATCAAGAAGTTTGTCGGCGATTACAAGGAGGGCAAGCTTAAGGTCAGTCAGTCACTCCAATCTTTCAGGGAGTAACCACTTGGGTGTTTTGTCAAGATACTCTGCCCAACACAACCCCGTGCTACAAGATCCAACGGGCCAAAAAATCCTGAAGTCCATCAGAGTCTGTTGTCTCTTACTGCAACAGGACACAATAGTGAAACTAGTTCACAGTGATGCAGAATAGGCAGGTTCTGTGTAGTGGGTGTATTCAATTTTTTTTTAAATTCGGTTTGAATTTGGTTTGGATTTTGGAAACCGGTTATTTGAAACCAACCTCAAAAATTAAATTTCGTTCTTCCATTTTTTGTGACACAAGCTAAAGAAAACAATTGGGAGATCCCTCCAGTTTGCTCTATTGGGTCTCTGGTTTTTACCGCATTCACTCGCTAGCAGTCCAGTTGGTTCATGAATAGCCCACCCATTCAACTGATCAGATAGTTCCGTTCCCCCCCCCCCAAAAAAAAAAAACTTGTTCAACATTACAGCTCTGGAGTGTTTTTGTAAAGGCCCAGTGGTCATTCAATCCCACAAACTATACCCAGTCATCATTGCATGCGACAAATCACCGGTCACTTTTTGTTGGCGTGACTGTGAGCTGAATGGGAGTTTCCGTTGCAATCGGATAACCATTATTCGTTTGGGAAAAAAAAACTAGGATAACCGAATTTTGAAATCACGGATTTCTCTAGTTTTCTGATCATTATAATAGCCTGATGCAGCAAGGTTACTACACAATAACAACTGGAATGTGTGTTTAAAACAGGCGTTAGAAGTTTGGTTTCATTCACTGTCATTTATTTTATTATTTTATCTTCAGCCTCATCTCAAAACCGAGGATGTCCCAGAGGATTGGGACAAGGAGCCCGTCAAGGTCCTTGTGGGCAAGAACTTTGCTGAAGTAGCTTACGATAAAACCAAGGATGTTTTAGTAGAATTTTGTAAGTATACATTTTTAAAAAAATATTTCAAAAAACTTTCTTTTTTTTATTTTCAAGAAAATTGAAGGATATTCCTTTAAACTTGCCTCAACGGTTTGTGTCTTGCAAAATATTATATTAACCTCCAGGGTTATGGCATTCTCCATGCATGGTTCCAGGACAGTACTATAGTACTACAGTACTATACATGTCATAATAGGGGTCCGGAATTCACTCAACTATTTGCTGTCTATCAAATGTAGGCTGTAAAGTGGTCAGGAGACCCCAAACAGCCCTCACTCGAGCTTGTAGACTAGTCTTGTTGACCGGATGATTTATTATCTATGCCCTGCAGTTAGGCTGGCTAGATCCACTATAACGATCTTATTACACATTATGTGGTTCTTTTTGGAGGGCTCCTGTTTGGCCAGGATTTTCATGGTCAATAGTTCAACTCTGGTTAAAGGGGCTCTCTCACCACTTTATTTGGCTATGTGCGAATGAGGAACTTGTGAAATATTCAATTGTTTTGAGAAACAACTGTTGGAGTAACTTAAGACTTTTACGTTTTTTAGTACCCCATTACCATTATCCTTTACTACATTGTGTGGGACGATTTTGGGCAGTGACAGGCAGGGTGGTTTGGGGCGGTACAGGGACTATTTGGTTAATCTGTGTGACTTTGTTTTTTCTTTCCTGACCAATATTTGCCCTGTCTTTCCCACAGATGCACCATGGTGCGGCCACTGCAAGAAGCTCGCTCCAATCTTTGATGACTTGGGCAAGAATTTTGCTGACCGCGAAGACCTTATAATTGCCAAGATGGACTCCACAGCCAACGAAGTGGAAGGGGTTTCTATTGGCGGTTTCCCAACGTTAAAGCTTTTCAAGAAAGAAACTAATGAGGTGAGCAAAAAATATACAATTAGGTTTGCGTTAGCTAGCTGGGCCGTAAAACCTCAGTTCAGGATATTAACCCTCCTAGTCTTCTACACTTAAGAACCCTTCAAGTTTTGCAAAATCACTTTTGCCCATGGAGTTAGCAGCCACACTTCCAATTTCTTTTAGGTAAACTTCTTGAGTATGGCTAACACTTCAAATCCCTACACACTTCTTTTGTGTGGTTAAGCTCGGGGCAAGCAGGCAGATTCAGTCACACTTCACTGTTTCCACAGTGCTGTTTTCTGTGTGAAGTGACTCTCTGTGACACGGCTACTTTAACACTTCATATCCCTTCCCTTGAAACTGACCTGCTGGGATTTACGTATTTCTGTGTATATTTATGTCCCGCCAGGAGGGTTAATTATTTACTCGGTGACTCAGTCAGTCTCTGAGAGTCAGTCAGCTAGTCTGTTTTTAATTCAAGGAGCCAACTACCTATTGATTATTGCCTTTTGAACCCCAGACAAAAAAAAACGTAACCTCCCTGAATCCATCAAAATCCACACCCCTGTTTTGGAGAATTTCAGCGGAGTCAGGATACCTCCATATTGAAAACTGGGGGATTTTGATGGATTAAGGATTGTAAGCCTAGCGGGGCTGTAGGATTTTGATAGATTTAGATACCTCCATACTGAGCAGTCACCAACTTCAACATTTTTGGCGTGACATAATTGGTGGATTTTTTTGACCATAATTGGAGTATTTTCAAGCTTTACAGCATTCAGAAGTGTAAATATTGACAGGGATGTTTCCTTTCCTTTTAGACCAGTTCTTTTCGGCATCTTAATTTGCAGCCTGTTAGTTTAATTTATGGAATCCTTGTTTGTCTGCAGGTTGTTGATTACAATGGTGGTAGGACGTTGGAGGATCTAACAAAATTCTTGGAGTCTGGAGGAGTTGATGGTGCAGGCCCAGACGATGTAAGAATAAATATGTGCTTTTCATTATTATTATTCAAATTAGGTTTTGCCCTTCACCGACGTTTTTAAACACTGTATACTCAGTGCGTTACCTCCCGAGTGAAAGTTGGAAGAAATCACTCGGGTGGGACTCGAACCCACGACCTCCTGCTTTCTAGTGCAGATGTCTTACCACCGAGCTAACGGGATTGGTTGGCTGGTTCGAATCTGATGTACATAGCAGTATACAGTGTTTAAAAAACGTCGGTGAAGGGCAAAACCTAATTTGATTTATATCACCCCGACGCAAAATTCCATCTTATAATTATTATTATTATTATTATTTTATTCATGCCATATAAACAAGTCATACCACCAAACTGGGCATAGGCTAGTCAAAAGCAAACACACTTACTATGGTCCAGAGACCTGACTCCCCACAGATGGGGGTGCACATTAAAAAGACTATTATAAAATATAAATTAAGAGTAAAAAAAAATATATAAAGATTGCACAAAAAGACACATTAAAATCTTGATAGAAATCAACCTGCATCAGCACAAGAGCTCTTAGTATCTTAAATTATGGAATTGTTTGCATCTAGGAATATGTACATTTTTCATGGTAAATTTTGCCCTTAAAGGGAAAATACAACATTTGCAAACATCAAAAAATAAAACTACCAAATCGTTTTGGAATACCTTGCTGGACTGTTAGTAAAATCCTGCAAAATCATGGCACCTGGGATACTGTCATTTTCAAGAAAAGTGGTATTTTTGTATCAATTTCCAAGGCTGATCGGCCGATCAGCGTTGGAAAAAACAGGTTTTTTTTTTCAAATACTGGCCCCAATGGACCATCGCACTTGTTTGCAATTGATTACACACCTATGAACGGGTACAAGCCAGCTAGACTGGTTCCCTGACCTTACAATTCCCCAATGTATGTAAACTGCTCTGTTTCTTCTTAAATGGAGTCAGGGAACCAGACTACAGGAAAATGATTGTTTTTCTTGGTTTTTATTGCATTTTTGAACCCAAAACCTCAAAAAAGTCAGTGTAACTATATTTGCTATATATTTCCAACCCCCCAATTCCATCCATTTCTGAAAATTACAGCAAAAGCAAATGATGTATATTCCCTTTAACTGTCGTCTATGTATGTACATTTATGTAGTAATCACTGTTTACTCAATGCTGCCTGATAGCTTGCGAAAAAAATGTTCACAAGCTTGCTCGAGCAGGTGGGACTGGAACCCACAACCTCCTGCTTGCGAGTGCAGATAGTACCCAGTCAGCCACCAAGCTTACACAGGGGTGGATGTAGCGGATCCGCATTAATATCTTCAGTGATAAAATTTCATTTAAAATTAATTGAAAAATGGAGAACTAAAGTGTCTGCAGATCCTATTCAACACTGAAGGGGTTCTTATTCAACACTGAGGGGGTTCTTACGCATGGAGTCAATAGTGGTGCTTCGTGAACCTACAATCCCGGCCAAAATGGTTGGGACACTTCCTGAGCCTGCCACGGTCACCCACTCCCCCGCTCCCCCGGTCAATGTTGTTCCCTCCAGCTGATGGAGCACACACCGCGCAATGAGAGACAACATTGAACGGGGGCCGGGGGGTGGGAGGCCCAGCGAGATTTGGCCAGGATTGTAGAGTGTTTTTAAATCTACAATAGAAAATAACAAATTTGTTTACTTTTTTTCACCATTTATCAGGATGAAGAATTTGACGAAGAGGATGAAGAGGAGGAGGATGAAGGGGAGCAGAAGAAGGACGAGCTGTAGAGCAATCTCATAATGCCACGTCTCCATAGAGACGTCGTCACAGCAACCCCACATCATCGTCATTTTAATCTCCATCATCTCCAGCCGTCTGATCTTCCCTGGTATTGCGCTCTTTGGACCACCGACCACCAACTTCAGCAAATCAAACATTGTAGCAAAATCCAGCAGTAGTTAATAATAGGATGTACATTTTTTAGTTCTGATCTTGAAGACAAAAAGATGTTGATTTCATAAGAAGCTCCGGCAGATATTGTTTTGTATTTAAAGACTCCGATGATGCAATTTTCTTAAATGCAGACGAGGCTAACTAGTGCCTTGTAGGAGACGGATCTGCTCCCCTGCCTGGCTTCTGATGAAAAAACAAAATATTTCTTCGGAAGTTTTTTTCAGCTCATTCTACAATACCAGGGACTGAACGGCCTTCAATATTTCATTTTTCTTTTCTTCCAAAAGATTTTCTGTGGGTGTTTGGGATTCAGAATCGTTTTATTCCATTTTTTTGAAATAAATTTTATTTCCATTTTCACATTTATTGTTCAGACTTTTTTTAAAAAGGATAAAGATAGAAGTGGCTTTATTTCTGTTGTTAACTGTGGAGACTTCCTAACACCTTGAAGTAACTTTGTTTCTTCTCAACGTTCAAACATTAAAAGGAACTTTATGTCAACTGTTGCTTTGTCCAGAATATACACCCCAAAAAATAATCAAATGTGCTGTTATAGTCAATACATCTATGAAGCTGAAACTTACTCATTGCCAAATCACAAACCGAGGCCTGATTCCAAAAAGCTGCTAGAAAAGCCAGAAATGCTGAAACAGACTTCCATGTGTGACATCAACTCGGAACCATTCCTAAGCAAATAGCTTAACAGTTTGATTTGAAACTGTGCCTTGCAATGCACACTTGGTCCTGTTTTATGCTGCTAAACACGAAGTCGCTTACCAATATTTTTAGCTTGGCACATCCTTGCAATCAAGCTGCCTGCTCTGTGCTTAGAAAGTTTACATGCTTACCATCTTTTTGAAATTGGGCCTAGGTAATGTCGTAGCTATGGTATGAGTAATATCTGTTTTCTACTCAATCATTGATTATGTTTTCAATGTAAGTGCTGTGTATTTTTAATGCTTCCTTTTTCGCAGATATAACTGTGCGGTGTTTTAATGTGTTCAATAATTTATCATGTTACTTGCTGTACACGTTGTCTGTGAAATTTTCAGCAATTTGTCTAATATATTTCTTAATTACAAATCTTATTTGTGTTCCCCAAGATTTTGTCATCATTCAGGGCTTAACTTCATTAGGCTGGTAGAATAGAAAAATAAAAATTAATAAAACAATGCAACAAATAAAAACTTCATGGAATGATTTTATTTTGCACATCATTTTCACTTGTTTTCATTTGTTACGCACTAAAAGCACATTGGCCTTGTGAAGTTGAGCCCTTTGTAAAAATATATTATCGTTACAATTGTGAGAACATTTAAAAATAAATATTGATTCCTAACTCCCAAATATTACAAAACAATTTTGGCAAAATGTGTTTGTTTTTATAAAAAAGTTGTTTTTTTGTTAAATTGTGAAATAGTTGTTTTATTTGGTCAAACAGCATAGTGCATAGCATAGGATAGACATAATTTATTGCAACTGGTCAAGCAACATTTTGATGTGTAGTCCTTTGTTCTAGGTTTATCTAATGTTAACGATTTCAGAGAAGCAACTGCAACCCTAACTAAATTTTACAAGGTCGTGAATTAATGTTTGCCAATGGGCAGTGTTAAAACTCCATAGACATGGACAGATTAACAAGCAAACAAAGAGAGGAATTTCGGAATTAAAAAGTTGTCCAACAAATTATCTTTGGTTGTCACCTTTTCTTTATTGTGTTAGTTTTGTCCAGTATTTAGTTGTGCCATTGTGAAGTAAAGTTGTTTTCCCATTGAAATGCAGTTCTTGCCCGCACACAGTAGCCTATACATTCTCGTTTTCACAATATTTACTTGCCAAATTTTTGTTTATCAATTTAAAACCTGTATTGGATGCCATTTGAAGTTTCTATTTAAAGTGAATCATTTTATCACAAATTGTTGGTAACTTTTCTTACCTTGTTGAAGTTAAGTTCAATTGAGGAATTAAACTTAAAGGGCCATATAATTAGCCAAAAAGGGATGTCAAATAGTTTTCATACGTTTAAGAGAAGTAGAAAGTTGCACAAAATATGAGCCCCAAGTAAAATTCCTGTTGCGGCCCTTTAAGAGTCTTGCACCGGTCCCTCGGCCAACTAAAAACAAATAGTGGTCCCTTGTGAATTTAAAATGTTCCCCTTTAGTTATTTGTGTTCAAGATGTTTGGGAATGGAAGGGAGATGAAATGTGGTTGGCCTTACATTTGTCGACAGCTTACCTACCTTCACATAATTATAGTGAAATGTACATTTGGTCACTTGTGTCTCAACAATTGGTCTAACTAACTTCCCCCTACTTACATGTAACCCCGCCCCCTCTCCCAACATATTCCAACCTTTCTCTACCTTGTTTTTCTTTTCTTTTTATCGTTGAGGCAGCCAGTTAGTGTTTGTTCAAATGTCCTCGAATTCCCTATTGCACATTTCTTACTTTGTTTCATGAAGCCTTTGACATACTTTTTACCATTAATCCATTCATATTCAAATGTCCTCAGTCTTTTGTCTAGCCACAGGTACAAGAATGCAACACTGGCCATTTCAAGCCTTTTTGGAATGCTTAGAATCCCAAGCAGTTAGTCAGGCCAGGCCTATAGCATGATGGGAGCTTGTGGGTGTTGGTCCCCCTTGGAGCAGTCGGGCCCTACCTGGTGCGTGTTGTGCTGGTCCTGTGTGATTCTAGCTTGATCGCTGTCTTCCTTGCAACAATAGTCAACAACCTGGGAGCAGATTTTTAAGCTGATTTCTTCCAGTACAATTGCCAGCCATTTCAAGGTTTGAGAATTCAGAGTTTCAATTTTAAAAGATTTAAATTGATGCCTTGTAAAAGGTTTCTATAAAGACACACACATATTTAGAAAAGTATGAAGACAAGAATGCAGTATCTACCCAAGATCACCTTTTTTTCAAAAAGTTATAACCTCTGTCCATTTCAAAACCCACAGTGGCGTGTGATGTTAACTTCAAAATTTAAAATGATATTCCAATTTGGTTTCCGAATGTTCCACAGAAATGGCAAACATCTCCTATCTGACCTTGCTCATTGGCCTTGTGACCCTTGACCTGTGCTATTCGACCACGCCTACCGATGCCTTCTGGGGGTTGACTGATCTGCGGGAGCATCTTGATAGGCAGGTGGAGAGTTTCCGTGCCAACGTGCATCGCTCGTTCCAACAGCGGCATCAACGGATTCGAAGATCAATAGACATTGGTGATTTCTCAGCTCTTTTCTTTTTCTTACTCATTTATCATCAGTTCTCACAAGTTAACACCATTTCAAACTGTTGTTCCAGAGACTAGTTCCTCGTAACAAAACCATATTTTCAGCAACTCAAGTCGACCTAATTAAATAATGCAGTCAGTGCGACAGTTCTAGATTGAACATTCTGGATCACATGTATAAATAAAAATTAATTCAACTTAACTGTAACCAAACATTTTTTTTGGAAATTTTTTTGACCAATTTGAAGATCTGTCATTTTGCAATTGTCAGGGGAAAAGAAATTGCGTAAACATTAACCACGATCAAGTTCGGCGAAATGTCCGCTTGTTTTGTATATAACTGCCTGTTGAAGGACGTAAAGACGAAATTCTTGTTTCCTGTGGAATGTAGCCAACATTTATCATTTTATCTTCACTGTTCGGTTTTCTTGTATTTGGACATAATCTCAAATATCACTAATGAGGAACCCACACCTGGTATTGGGATCATATGTTCATGGACACCGACCAAGAGCGAGACCAGCCAAACGGTGGGAGGACTGTGTGAAGTCAGACTGTCAAGTGAGAGGCCTGAGGTCATTGACAGAAGCCTGCAATTTATCCCAAGATAGGAAGACCTGGCACAATGTCATGGATCAGAAGCCATCACACAGTTCCCAGCTGGTGTGAATGTTCTGACCAGGGACCACTTGTGGGGTACCTGTCCTTTGTTCGAGGTACCCCACAAGTGAAATATTTAGAAAATAGGGTACCCCGCAAGTGAAATCTTTAGAAATAGGGACAATGGGACAACAATGGAGGTACCCCGGAAGTCCATCTGGGAGGTACGTCCGGCTTAGTCCGAGTCCGAGTCCGAGTCCGAGTCCGATCACTAATTAAGTGATAATGATTTGGGAATGATATGGGAAACTGCATGCACGCACATGACTGGGATCCTGGAGGTGTGCCAACCCAATGTAAAAGACTGTCAGTTTAGGGGCACTGTACCCATCGTTGAGGTTTCATGGGTTGAATTCTGTTAGGGTAAATGCATGAACCCATACTCTAAATAATTCTTGACCATTGATCGTGTTCGCTAAATAAATTTCATTTGCCCGATTGTTTCAGATTTGGCAGGGACTTTGGAGGGCCAGTCTCCTTTACTGGTAGACAACATCACGGTGGTGGAACATTTCTTTGTCGGCCCGCAAGTCTATGTCATCGTCGGGAGGAAACAAGAGGGTGATGGATCCTACCACAGCACGGCTAAGATACATCGCTTCAACGTGTCCAATTATGCTATAAGTGTGTTGCCTTCTCAGCTTCCTGCCTTTCTTTTATCAAAGCTAATTGTGCCTTCCACCCAGTAATGAGGTAGTCTGAGTATCACCCGTTATCCACGAAGCCAAGTCTCCTGTATAACGTCTGATATGTCAAAGCATGCAGATTTATGGGATTCGCGCCTCCGCCAATCGGAGTCCTCTTTACTAAATTGTGACATAATTTCATTCCCAAATCCGGACTAAAAGTGTGATTGGTCAATTCGAATGTGTTTTTTAATACAAAAACAGCCGCGCGCGTGTCGTGTAACATAATACGGAGCGGGTGATTACAGCCTTTGTTGATGTGTCTAGCCTTTTTGTTTTTTATCCATGTCTAGATGCAACAGCGGGTGAACAACGGAAGTCCCGATATAGAAAGCGCCTGCTGATTGGTCAAAATGTAGAGGTCAAGATGCGGTTGTCTTGCATAATTAATCAGCGAATCTGTTCAAAAATTATAGACCATGCCTTTCGCCATTGTCTATTACATAGAATAGTAATGAGGGGGGGGGGGGCAACAAGTTTGGGCACAGCCCTCGAACAGGGGTCCTGTGGCCATGCCCCGCCCCCTTTTTTATGCCTCTGGTCCTCCAGTAACAATAATATGTAACCAGAAATATGAATTACATTTAGAATAAATCTTTCAGGTACCAAAGATAGTTGTAAAAAAAAAAACATTTTACTAATTGATTTCAGCTGGCGAATTCCCAACCTACGGAGTATCGGACATTGAAACCTTTACCATCAGCGGTCACGTCTACATCGCAGTAGCCAATCAGCTAAGAGATCCAGGAACATACGATGGCTTGTCCAACATCTACCGCTTCGATGCCGTGACCGAAAACGTCGTCCCCGTACAGCAGATTCTGACGCACGGCGCATCCAACTTCCAGTTTTTCGATTACGAGGGAGACACTTACTTGCTGCTGGCCAACATGCGGGAGGATGCATACGCCAAATACCAGACAGAATTAGAGTAAGTTTCAGCATTGCGTTCCCCACTTAGTTCTCAGATCTTGAGTTGTGGTCACACATGTCGAGGCATCCATTCGTCAGACTGGTGTCCACAGTCACACTTGTCTAAAAAGAGTGACTCGGATCAAATAGAGTTTGGTTTCAGACAGGCAAAGTTTTTAGAGTTTATAGTGTCGTTCTTAATTGCTGCAACAGCTTGCAGGTGAGTGACTGCAACAGTGAGCTTTTTGTGTATAGTCACTACTGAGTCCTGACCATTTCATATGCCAAACTTTGTTTTAAATCTTGATTTCAAATGATGCCAGACTTGTAGTTGAGTCCTACACCTGTCAAATCACCAGTGAATCATAGGACAATGAATATAGGGAATGCAGCACATGACAAAGGAATGCCTCCGTCACAATTCATATGAAGCTTGTGTTGTAATGCAGTCCATTTCAAGTCTGTCACAAGTTGATCCTCACAAGTCCTCAGGAGTCCATTTCAAGACATCCAGTCCCAATCAGGTCAATTCTAGTCACAAGCTTTTTAAATGAACCACGACAAAGGCATTTTACAATGTACCTCTGTTATTTTGTTCAATTTTATGTAGTGGAGCCCATCACAAGTGGAGCCCATCCCGTGGCACGTGTCCCTCAAATTAGGCACTTTGTCACTCATTGCTTCTGTAAGGGCAGAGATGGTTAATGTGGGTGATTTTAGCTGCTTTGTGCCGAAATGGCAGCATCGAGCTGTATACTCCCCAGGGAGCTAAGATGGTATTTTATATGTTTCATTGGCCCACTGAGCAGGGTAGTAATGATGTAGCACCTTGAGCACCAATAATGGTAAATACGCGCGCTTTATAAATGCGCATTATTATTATTATTATCACAAGTCTAGTCACAAGTAAATCATATGCCCATTCACGAGTCCAGTCACAATTAAGTAACAGTGGATGAACAATAACAAAGGAATGCGTTTTTCAAGACTCATTATTTGAATAGCTTGTGATTTTAATTTGGACTGGAGGACTTGTGATGGACTCGACTACTGACCCCTGTTACTTGAGACCAGACTTGTGAATTGACTTGTGCTCAACTTATGACTGGATTTTTGACTTGTGATTTACCTACGACCAATGAAAAGCTAATGGCCTATACTCTCTAAACATGCTAAATATGTATCATTATTTGCGA